CACATTTTGTTTTAAATAGCTTATAAATCCACGATAACGTCCAACCATGGCAGGTGCTCCATCTGTAGCTACTGATATTATATTTGATAAAGGAATTGCTTTTTCAATCCTTCAAAACATGAAATATTGATTCACCTTTAGTGTCGGTTATCAAAGTTCTTGCGAAGAGCAGTTCTTCGTAGATTTCTTGATTCATAATAAAACGAACATATGCCAATAATAATGCTGCATTATCAGGTAAAGTTGACTCGTCCAGTTGTATAGAGAAATGGGTCGTCTGCAATATACATACGAAGCTTTCAATATCAGAACTCATTTCATCAATACGTCTTTCAACAGTATTGTTGCTTAAGGGAATTCTTTTAATGATATCAGATGCAGGTTTGTGTAAAAGAGTTTTTAAAACCTCTTCAACCGCTGGCAAAATTACCTTCTCTCCGGTAGTATGCGGTTTTCCGGATTTTGCTATAAGTAAAGAGATATTGTAAGATGCGTGCAAACCGTCATCATTTCTTTGTGACGTCGAAGCGAAAATTTTGTCCAGTGTAGGTCTCTTCTGAAATTTATCTTTGAGTGTATGAAAGTATTTCAAATCTTTCTCTGTTTTATCAGGGTGGCATCTTCTCAGATGATCTTGCAGTTTAGATGGTTTCATAGCGTCATTGCCCAAAACTTTGTTGCATAAAAAGCACATAGGCGATTGTTTGTTCGGCAATGATGGAATGAAGCCAAATTTCAAATAATCAACACTGTACTGTCTACATTTCTTTTTAGATTCGGACATGGCATCAGTCATCTGTGGGCAAAATTAAATTATTTAAATAAGACAGAAAATCCAGCAGCTGTATATTAAAAATATTTTTTGATTTTTCCGAAAACATTCCATAATTCGAACATCTTCTTGCAACAATTAGCTCGAATATACGGAATACGGATTGCACTGTAATTATATTACCGATTGCTAAAACTTTTAAAAAGAAACTATTGAGGAGTACTCGTGTAATTTTGCATGATTGAATATTTAACTACTAATAACTAAAGTCATGATTGGCGTAATTTATCTATCTTTGCTAACTACGAGTACAAAACTAAAATTTAATAAAAAATAATGTACTTACTTTTCTCCAGGACTCTCAAACAAAATAACACTGACTCACTATAATTTGTGTGATATACTATCTGTTTATATTTTTTAAAATATTTTCTTAGCACTTTCCTTTTCAAGATTCAGGAAACGAATAAACGTATTTGTCCCACATTAGTATTTATAGAGTGACAAATTGAACAAGTCAGTGCAAGGTAGCGAAGCTCTGAGACTGCGACTCTCAGGTTTTTACAAGTTCAAAATGTATTGAGACCACAAAACGAATACCAACATCCTACAACTTACACAATTTCATAAACATATAAATAATTTTTTACTTCATAGTTTTTTTTATAAATAATGTATATGTTTTGATATTATAAGATAGTATGATGTAAGTAAATAGGTACTATCAGTGTATGTGTTAAGATCCACTATCGTGGACCCCCATATTCATTTCATGGACCCCCAATTTTTTTTTCGCTGACGTAGACCCGTTGCAGGTTATCATAGACCCCTAGGGGTCGATATAGACCACTTTGGGAATCAATGCTTTTAAACAGACATGTCCAGATAAAAAAATGCGTGTTCAATGAGATACCTGACACTCAGACTCTAAGTTTGGAGTATAATTTGACACCGCTATTCGAATACAATTATCCAAATGTTCATCTGTAAGTCGATTACGTAACATATTTGTTTTTAATGAACTTCATATTTGAAAAAGAAGATTCACACAAATAGGTCGAACAAAATAACGCTTTCACTTTCAAGGCCACACAACATAAAGCTGAAGATTTATCTTTACTTACAGAAGGCCAGATACATTTTGTATTTGAGTCTGATGATTTTGAAGCTGGATAATTTTGAAGCGCAAACTGCAAACTGTTGGATATCAATTTCCTTGAAGGATGAAACAACAAATTGTGCCACTATAATATATATATGTATACGTATATATATATATAATTTCGTTGAAATCCTTGAGACGACTTTTAAAGTTATCCTTCGAGTCACATGATATTTACTGTCATATGGTTCTAACGAACTTTGAGATATCTTTTCTAAAATAACAGGAAAACGCCTGGTATCGCCATCAATTAAGTTTTGTTCCCAAACTTCAAGATTTTGTATACGTAACAGAAATCTTTTCTGCTAGTTCTTTGCCTCTTCCCTCAAGCTGTGAATTAAGTTCATTTGATTTTCCTGTAATATCCACAAGAAAACCCAAATCTCTAAGCCAAATTGAATTTTCCAGTTCCGAAATCGGGTTCATCACGTTATTTGAAAAATTGAACTATGGCAGATATGATATCATTGAATCGTTTCAGCACTAGTCCCCTACTTAACCATCGGACTTATGAATGAAGGAGTAGTTCCCAGTATTGACAGTCAATTTCATCGGCCAAGGTATTGAATATTCTTCTTTGTAGGTCTTGGGCTCTTTTCTTGTTCACAGTTTTTAATAATAATTTTATAACGTTGTTTAGTTTTAAATAATGCTTGCTGATGGATAACGCAGTGGTAAGAGAGAAATTGCGGAAAACTTTCGTCTTTTTGACATAACCCCACGAGACCCACCATAGCTGGAACGCCATCGGTTGTCAAGCCTACCATTTTCGATATTGGAATTTTCTCAGAAGAAATAGCATTTTTAAAAGAAGAAAACAAGTCCTGCCCAGCAGTCTGCCGTTTTAAGTGGAATAAACTGCAAAAGATCTTTAATCGTAAAATCACAAAAAATCATCCTGACGAACACGGCCATCTGAGAGGTGTCAACGACATCTGTGGATTCATCCAGCTGCAGTGAAAAATAAGAACAGTTATCGAAGTCATTTCTTAACTGTAAAACTATATCATTGCTCATTACTTCTGCTCATCTCATCACTATCTCGTCTTTATTTCTAAAGTTGCCAAGTAATGAATCTGCAGGCTCTATAAAGTCCTGTTTTATCATTTTCCCGTCTTCATAAGGTTTCTTCTTTTGTATAATTATATGGGATGATGCTTCTGTTGCAGCTTTACTTTTGCTGATTATTTTAAAAAACATTGATTGTGGTCGAATTAACTGATTTTTTAATTGTTCCAGCTTTTTATAGTGCCTCTCGATATTCAGCTTTTTAGCAACGGAAACAGATGTACTCGTATTACATAACAAACATACATTTTTGCCATTAACTTTTGTAAAGGAATATTGTTCTTTCCATTCCGAGCATTTTGAAGTATAGTAAACTTTTATTTAAAGGTCATTGATGGGAACTTTGCAATTTTAAGAGATAATAAATTTATATTGAAGGATTATATATATAAATAGGGTGGTGCATCGAAAATGAAACGGACGTATTTACTGGCAGCTCAGTTTTTTTTGGAAAAACGCTCAGGCCCGTCGATTTATTTTGTTTTCGAGGGGGACACAAGTTGGGCAAAAAATCACGTTAACACGTGCAGCGCCCTGGGCGGGGGTGACACCAACTCTAAAATCTTAAATGGAAAGGGGGTCGAGTGATACCTTATTTTAAAGGTCTTTCAATTCCCTTTATAATGATGTAAAAAAGATGAGCTTCAGTACAGTATCTAGAAAATAGCGTTGGCCCCAACGTTGGAGCGAGCGTTGGTAGTTGGCTGTCGATTGTCGGTTTTATCATTTTCTAGATACACACGTTGGGCGAGTAGCGTTGGGGCCAACGTTGGGGCCAACGTGGGGAGCCGGCGTATGGAAGCAAGCAAAAAAAAACTGAGCTGCCAATAAATGCGTCTGTTCCGTTTTTGATGCGCCACCCTGTATATATATACGCTGTGGTCGTGAGTTACAAGACATTAATACAATTAAGCTTTTGTACTGCTCATTTGTTCGTTCAAAGCTTGAATATGTGTTAATTGCTTGGCAGCCTTGCTATAACTTCTGGATAGATAAACTTGAAAATATCCAGCGACTATTACCAAAATACCTACATTTCAAGGAAAATGGCAGTTACCCGCCAGTTGACTACCCTAAAAAAATTTTAGAAGAAGCCTTTGAACTAGAAAGTCTCAGGCAAAGGCGTGATAAGTGCTGCATTAATTTTGTGCGTAGTATATTGCACAATTATATCGATTGCTGCCATATATTACATAAATTTAATCTTCTTATTTCTCCAGGCTTAAATTCTAGACAATTTGATACTTTTTATTTGCCTGTCCCTAGAACAAACATCCTAAAGTTTTCTTCACTATTTTACTCTTGTTGTACAGTTAATGGCGTTGCAGAACAGTTGGATATATTTCTGTGAGGTTTTGTCTGTCTTTTTTGCTTTCTTATCTGATATTTGTATATATTTGTCAATAGCACCTTTGTGTTCGAATTACCCATTTTTGCGTGTATTAAAAAAATAATTGTTTTTTTGCGGCCTGTATCCTACTCTGTAAATGGCTGTTGCAGTTGAGTAGTGTATAAATAAATAAACAAATTATAAAGTACTCACAAGCATCTCCATAATGAAGTCCAAGCTGACATCCAGCTTCCCTCTTGAAATTTATAACTATTATTATTACTTCAAAATATGGTAATCCTGTATCATTTTCATCATCCCAATCCTCAGCTTGCTAACTTGAGCCGTTCAAGAAATAAAGAGGATTTTTTAAAAGCACTGTATAGTTCAACAGTGCTATAGTCAAACTCCAATGCGTGTTCGTTTAGTTAGCGTTTTTTATTGCTATAATTCCCCGAAACATACTTACGTTATATCGTGCTTTTGTATTTAATTAGTGATGTCAAAATTTGTGCTTTTATTGTTTGTTTATATAGCTAATGAAACAATAGAGTTTTCATAAAATGCTTTATACAGTACACCTACCAGGCAATATAATGATAACGGATAATTAATTTTAAACGTAATTTCAAACTACCAGACTAGTTTTTCAAGGTCTGTGATCCATCAGCAAATTTCTATAATCAGAAAAACAGGAACATGTTGATTGTGCTAGATAATAAAATCATTTCATAGAGATAATGTTGACGGAGGTTTTATCAGTAATTCTAGCTGTAAGTAAAACCGGAATTGTAATTCTTAGAAGAATTAGTGATCTAATATGAGAAAAATAATTCCGGATAAATCTTGCCATTGTCACTGCTGTTAAAACTTATCGCTTTGGAATATAAGTTGATATGCGCTAAGGTTAGGAATATGGTGCTTCTTAGCGAAAGCTGTTATCTGACAAACAAATCCTATAAGTAAAAGCAGTTATTTATTAATTATTATGGACAAAGCTTTGAGGCAAATTACTCTACTGATTTATAGCAGAAATTGTTGGTTCTAATTTGCGTCCATCCTAAAAAATTTGCACTTAGTTCAAATTTTCGACACTGATAGTTGAACACGTTTTACAGGGGAGCTTCCGACCAACTGACTTTTCACATGACTTGAATGCACAAAGTTGAAAGTGTACAATCTGTTGAATTTGCATCTGTTAAAACCTAGATGATGTCGTTTTGAGGTACGTCAGCGGTAGCGATCTGATCGCCTTAGTTGTTTCTTTGAAACTAGTTATACGAGTATGCACTCCATGCTAACTTGTACGAGTAGTATCTGTGTGCGTTGCCTAAACGTCAAGATACTTGAGATATTTGCTGTGGCCATTATGAGATGCAATATCTGCTTCAGGGATGGTACTAACTACGCACTTCCTTGTCATTTGTGCTAGCACAATCTAGTTTTAGCAGAGAAACGTTGCGATAAATTTCAATACGAAACCTCAATAACACTACACAATTCAGCACTATAAAAATGTCTAAAACTAACTAGAAAATACAAATATATATTTCGAAAGTCCTAGAGACACTGGTTTAAAATTTGATAGTTAAAAGGTTCAAAACTGTAGCACTGCAACAATACTTAATGACGAATTGAAAGAAAGAAAAATAAAAGTATTAGACCATTAATATATATTATAAAAGGTATCCAAAATGTTGTTGAAAGCAATACAGACACACTAAAAATGCACGAAAATGATAAAAATGGTGTAGTAACATTTATTGAGAAATACGTTACCCTTTGTTGACAATTGTATAGTTTGAGACAAATATGTATCCACCAACACTGCATCAATGACTTTTCCGGCTTAGGTGGAGGGATATAATGTACACTTGCTGACTTGACAAAATATTCTTAAAGGGCATCCATACACTTTACGTACGTTGTTGCTTCCCCTTCCCATTTGATTATAATCATAAGAGAGATGCGATTGTAAAAGAACATGATAAATAGTTTTCAGTGTGTTGATGTCCAAAATATCTGCTAAATTTTGGTAACGAAGATCGAATTTTTTCACATCATTTGGACATCCTATCTCTAATTATCATCCATACATGTATATGCCGAGATACACAGTGACTGCCTCCCGCTTAAAATATATACCATGCAGCTAAGTATATCGTGGTAAATAACTATATGATGCAACTAAGGCTATTCATGACCTAAGCTGTAGGTTTTATATACAGGGTGGCGCATCGAAAAAAAAAACAGACGCATTTACTGGCAGCTCAGTTTTTTTTTTGGAAAAACGCTCAGACCCGACGATTTTGTTTTTGAGGGGGACACAAGTTTGGCAAAAAATCACGTTAACACGTGCAGCCCCCTGGGCGGGGGTGACACCAACACTAAAATCTTGGAAAGGGGGGTCGAGTGATACCTTATTTTAAAGGTCTTTCAATTCCCTTTATAATGATGTAAAATACATTCAGTTCAGTAGTTTTGAAGATTTATTAGCTTAAAGCTTAAAGTAGACTTTAATAGGTACATCAGATTAGTTTGTACTACTTTCAGAGGAAATTTGACTAAAAGAATTTACTTAATAAGTAAATGCTTTTCTTCACTACGCCCATGGTTTGTTTATCATTTTGTTGTTGAAAATAGCTATTGGAGCGTTTTTTTGAGGCAAAAAAGTTATTTCTTGAAGAAAGATAAGGAAATATCTCGTACTTATTTTAAATAGGAATTTAGTACATAATTTGCGATTGATTTGACCAAACTTTTTTGCTAATAATAATAGCTTGTAACGCTTTATTACATAAATTAACCATGGTATATTCCACAGCCGAAAGAGTTGAAATTATCGAAATATTTTTCGGAAATAATCAGTGCGCTAATAGAACAGCAGAAATATTTAATGAGCGACATGAGAGCAGTAACGTGCATCGAAAATATGTTCTAGAACTGGTAACTAAATTTCGGAAAACTGGGTCAGTCGCCAATAAAAAACGCAACATTGAAAATCCCATAAGGAACGAAGCAATAGAGGTGGGGTTTTAGGGCAAGTTTATGTAGATCCTACGTTAAGTACCCGCAAATTGGAGACTGTGTGTGGTGTTAGTCGACGTACTGTCCAACGGATTCTAAAGGCCCATAGTTTTCATCCATATAGAATCCACCTGGTACAAGAACTTAATGATGACGATTTTGATCGGCGATTACAATTTTGTGAAGATATGAGTGAACGAATTATAAACGGTGAACATTTTCTATTCAACACATGCTTTTTCGGCGAATGTTCCTTTTTATTAAATGGCGTAGTATATGGTCATAACTGCCGATATTGGTCCGATTCGAATCCCAGAATTTATCATGAGGTTCATACACAGCAGCCACAAAAATTAAATGTTTGGGCTGGTACTTTTGACAATCATTTAGTTGGTCCTTTTTCCTTACCTGGAAATTTGACCGGTGAAATGTATTTGGAATTACTGGAAGACGCCATAGATCCTGCATTAATAGCTATAATTGAAAATCAGAATGATCGGCGATACATTGCGAATAGGTTGATGTTCCAACAGGATGGTGCCCCACCACATTACGCATTACGTGTTCGACAATATGTAGATCAGACGTTTCCAGATCGATGGACTGGTAGAAGAGGTGCCATTGAATGGCCCCCAAGGTCGCCAGATTTATCACCTTTGGATTTCTTTATGTGGGGTCATTTAAAAAGCAAAATCTGTGCTAGTCAGCCAACATCATTATAAGACCTGCGACAAAGAATTGTGAATGAGTGCCTTCAAATTACTCCTCAGATATTGAAAAATGTGCGGCAACGTTTTGAGCAAAATCTTTATTATTGCATGGAGAGTCATGGTGGCCATTTTCAACATTTACTTGCCTAACGGGTCAGTTCATTCTTCATTTTTAAATTACTTTGCTGCCAAATGTATTGATCTCCACTAATGATGATGTATTGGTTTTATTTAAGCTTTAAATCAATGAATCGTCAAAACTACTGAACTGAAGTACATTAATTTTATATCATTATAAAGGGAATTGAAAGACCTTTAAAATAAGGTATCACTCGACCCCCCTTTCCATTTAAGATTTTGGTGGTGGTGTCACCCCCGCTTAGGGGGCTGCACGTGCTAACGTGATTTTTTGCCAAACTTGTGTCCCCTTCGACAACAAAATCGACGGGTCTGAGCGTTTTTCAAAAAAACCGAGCTGCCAGTAAATGCGTCTGTTTCGCTTTCGATGCGCCACCCTGTATTTCTCCACATACGGCGTTCAAAATAAGTGCACGTGGCGTGGCTTAGGGGCTATTGACAAGTATGACGATCAGATAGCTATCATAGTGATTACTTTACACAATACGGCAGGGGTATTATGTTAAAAACCTGAAAAAAAAACGTCAAAAAAAAAACGACAAAATGTAATCTTGCAGGCTAGGTACTTATTTGGTGTGCAAATAGTCCATTCCACGTTTGCTCGCTATGATCGCTGTCAGCGCCAAAAAAAGCGCCCATCTACGAAGAAATGACTCAACGACACGACACGCTCGAGTATGCATTGTTGGTTGCATGAACCAAGTAGTGTTTATTTGTGAGAAGATGTGGAAGTTCGATGAGTAGCAAGATCACATTTGGATGATTATGTGTATTGGTCTGCATGTGTATAAACTCAGTGATATTTGCTATGTGAGAAAATTGTTACTGAATCTACTGCTAATGAAGTATATCTATTAGCTATACCCGACGGGTTATTTATATGTTGTCCTTTCTGAAGACATGTTCTAAATTATAAATTACGATTCTTACTTTTTTTTGTGTTTTCAATAACTTTTAGGGTAATTACAGGAAATCACCATCGCGCCCGCGTTGTATATAATTACTGTTAGCATGTCTATGACGTGTAATTCGACAGCGTACAGTGAATATAATTGCAATATGTGGCAGTATATACGTATAAAATATAAGATTCGACATGAAGTTAATTACTTCTCCAACCAGGAATTTTCTTTTCTCATCAATAGTATTTTTGAAACTCAGAAAATTTGCATATGTACTTTCCAGAATAAATAAGAAAAAGTGGATGCGCAACTAATTTCTAGCTTTAACTACATCTCAAGTGAGTATATTTGAGACAAGAAACCAGTGGAATTATCAATACAGATTATTACCACACAAATCCTCACTATACACCTATGCACTTCCGTTTCCTTTCAGCTATTGTATACAGGTTACAGGTACCTCCTATAATGACATCTCTGAAGTAGCTGTTACATCAAATCAGAGCCAAACACTGATAGCTGAAGCATCATGAGGTTCATAACAAGTGTACAACAGCTAGTGATGAGTTGATACCTTTTAAAAAAACCAACGCTATGTCACAAAAAACCTATGAAATGTAAAAAAACTGATAATGTGTCACTTTTCAAGATAAGTAATACCCACTTATTTTAATGTATATTGTATAACTCTTCCATTTATTGGGTATTGTTTTTTTTTTGTATGTAACTGCATATTGACTAATCCAATGACAGAGAAAGTGGGTATGAAGGGGTAATTGCCTCTACCTCGCCCCTCCCAGAAAGAAAACGAGCCTGTCCAATTGTATAAAGAAATCGGGGTCTTTAGAAAATTAGAAACCCCAAATATCTGTTCTCACCATAGAACTGAGCCTTGAAGGACCTTCTGTATTTGACAATCACGACAAGGTAATTAAAAGGGTTATACGTTCTAGAACAATACGAGTATCTCCTACT